GCAGGTTTGGTTTCTCCTGGGGTCTCTCTCCTTTGCAAAGGCTGCCTTCTCACTGTGTCCTCACCTGGTCCTTCCTCTGCCTGTGCACATATCGGATGTCTTCCTCTTCTTAAAAGGACTCCAGTCTTACTGGATTAGGGCCTCACCCTAATGACCTCATTTTAAGTTAATGACCTCTTTAAAGACCCAGTCTCTAAATACAGTTGCATTCTGAGGTCCTGGGGGTTAGGGTTTCAACATATCAATTTGCAGGGACCTAGGCCAGTCCATTACACTGTGTGTGAAAGCATGTGAAACTCAACACACCAGGTGAATATTTTAGACAGTCTGGCTTTTCTGCCTGTGAAGAAAGTTATTTAAACATTGAAATTCATCCTCAATGCCTGGGATGGAGTTGGGTGGGAGGGCAAGGCTTAGCAGAGGGGTAGATGTGTGACCCACCGACTGTTGGGAGCCTGACTAGGGTGCAGAGTGGGACGCAGCACACAGCTGATTCTGATGCAGCAGATGACAGGCTGCCTTTGGGGAACTGCTGCCCTCCCTCCCCTTGTTCTAGGGCCGCTCCTGGCCCCAGGACAGAGCCTCTCTCCTGCCATACTTCCATCTCCAAGGGAAGAACCAAATGCAGTCAGGCCCAGTCATCAGTTGGCTTCATTCCCACCCAATGAAGCTCTATTCACTGCTACTGGGCAAAGCCCGAGCCCTTCAACTCAGCCCCCAAGTCCATCCCTTCTCTGCCATGCACTCAGCCGCTTGCGCGCCAGCAGGACCTGTCCTCCCCCTCAAGGAGGAGAGATCCGAGACCTGTCCACTAATGATGTGCTCTCCCAAGCCGTACTGAAAGCTTGCCACGTACCATTCCACTTAATCTTCCCAACAACTCTCCATTTATCAGATGGGAAAGAGAGGCCCAGAGAAATTAAATTCTTGTCCTAGGCTTAATAGGTGGCAGAGAGCAAGGATTCAGAACCAAATTTGCCTGACCCAGGTCTCGTGTTCTCACTTTTTCCATCCATAAACCACACTGGTAAAGCCCAAAGGACTCCTATGACATTTTATGCATTTTTAAATGCATAAAATAAAATACAGAGAATTTCAGAGGAAACTAATTATATTAAAATATGTACTTCTTTATTAATGGTTTAAACAATAAGCTCTAGCAACAGATCTAAACATTGCCAGAATTTTCAAAATTGTTGACCTGCAATTGTAATATGACGTGAAAATATAATATCATGTGAGAACTACATGGTGAAAGAATCGCAGGTATTGTGGTTTGTGACCTACATTCATAATTGAAGGAAATGCTAAATTTCAATTATTGCTTAGTAGAAATAATAGCTACTTTTTTTCCTCCAAGTTCATGACCACTTGAATTCTGTCCACTGACCCTGCAGATGGAGGATCCATGCAGGAATGGCTGGTCCGTGCCCTGATGCCGAGGCCTTCAGTAAGGACCAGCTCTGACTCCGCTGTGGGCAGTTAACTCCATGCGAGGAGGGAAGCCCCTAATCTCCCAAAGCCTTCGGGTTCTGCTTCACTGGGGAAGTTGGAGGCGGTCAGGAAAATAAGTCCTAGTACTTAACGCTAGCAAGGCCCCCTGAACTAGGGCTGATTCTTTTGCTCAAACCTCACGATGCGTTAGGGGTGATGCTGGGGGCCATACCAACAGCAAGCACTTGGCTAAGTAGCACGAAGATAGCAAAGGCCGGTCTTTGAGTGCACCAAAGATAAGGACTGACCACACACCAAAGATAAGGACTGACCACACACCCCATCTCATCCATGTGATACCTGGTGCTTTCATCCACACCCTACTTTGCACCAGGTATTGGGAGACTGGTGGGAAGGCAACCAAGAAGTGGGCCTGGCATGCAGCACCATGAGCTTTGATCCATGGGGTGAGTGAGGTGGCAGGACCAAAGTCTGGGGTTTCTCACACACTTCCCTCGAGACCCCCGGCCTGTAGAAGTCCAGAACGTGCCCAGCAGCTATTCAGCTGAAAAGGAACAAGGAGTACGTGGGGACCTGTCACCCCCTTTTAGCACTGAAGTGGGAGTGGGCCTGGTTCATCTGGAGGGGAGCGAGAGGTGGGGGCAGGGAGAGAAGTGTGCAGAAGTGGAGGAGGAGGGCGCTTGCTCTGCGGCAGCCGGGGAAAGTGAGAGCGCTCACGCGCAGATCCTCTCCGGGCTGTTATCTAAGGTAGCCTGGAGGGGAAGGCCGCACTTCTTGCAAGACCCTAAAGCCTTTAATAGCTTCTTGCTTCCTGAACCTTGGATTTGACTGCTTTTGTTTCTGCAGTCTGGCCCTGGCCCCAGCCCCAGCTGTTGCTATTTCTCCCACACTAGCCCTCTGGACCACAAAGTTAGCACAGTCCCCCTTGGAGTTGTGGTACAGAAGTTTATTTATGTCAGTTACTGCACAGACTGTACTAAAACAGCAACAACAGAGAATTGTAAAATAATTAAGGAGGGCTTTCAGGGTGGCAGTCCCCTGAAAGGGTCCCCATTCCACAGTCTGGCCCTTAAGCTGTGCCGGACAGAGGTTCAATTTGGAGTCTGCAACCAGAGACAGACACAGGAGAACCAAACCCATAAAAAGTTCCTGTTAGTTGACAAGAAGCCACTCCTTCCTAGGTGTTAGGATGGCAGGATGACAGAAGGTTAGTTGGTGAACATGGATCAGATAAAATAGAGTCTCGAGGGACATTTCATCCACCAAGCACGTGGATGGACTGTTCCCTGGAGCCCATCTCTCAGGCCCACCACCGGGCAGACCAGGCTACCCCTCTTCCTTGGTAAGCCACCTTCCCCAACTCGATTAATAGCATTGATCTGGCTCCAGCATCCTTCTCAGGTAGTTGGCACCAAATTCAGTTCAGATCTCTGTCCTTCCTCCTGGTCCTAGGAAACACCTGACTCTGGGGCCTCTGAATGTGCCGTCTGTGGCTGTGGAGAGCCCCCTTTATAGAGGGCCACCTGCCACAGGCCACAGGCACCTGACCTTGCTGGCAGCCCCCACTTGGCTCGTGGAAACAATAGGTCATGCAGAAAAGACCAATTTAAGGAACACATTTGGAAAGAATCCTGTCTGAGACAATCTCTTACTGAAAAACAGATTCTAATCTAGTTTAACAGGTGAGGTGTAGCACTAATTAGCCTGCCTAAAAATGCTTATTAGATCATTAAAAGGACTCGATTTGAATGAATTGCCACAGGGCTTTTTAGAGAGTGACTTAATTTCTGAGTCTCAGTGTGCTCATCTGTGAAATGAGTACTATCGAGCCAGCTTGGGGTGTCGTCGCAGGGGTGACAGACAGTGCGAGCATGGCGCCTGGGTCCAGCTCATTCTCCATAAGGCACAGCTGCTGTTGCTGCCATGGAAGTTTTAAAAATTTCAATTTCCAGACAGCCCACTTGAAACGGAACTGTTCCAGACTGTGTTCTTGTTTTCCAGCAGCCGTGACGAGTCCAGCAGTGTCCTTGTAGCTTTTCAATTCCATTTCTGTTCACAGAAAGCAAACCATCTAGCATTATTTTAATAGAAGGTTATTTGTTTCAAGGTATACATTTTCCACATTGACTTTTAGTGATTGAACTAAATTAATATTTTCAATTCTAAGAAATTGTTTTCTGCACTTAAGAGACTATTGAGAATTTTTAAAAAGTAATAATTCTGCTTTTTGAAACTTGGGACACATTTTCCATGGAAATATTGTTACTCAGGTGGCCAGTGTCCCAGGCTGCCCACTGTTTAAGGCTCAGACTCTACGATAGAGCTTTAGTGCACATGAGTTGCCTGGGGATCTTGCTAAAATGCTGAAGTGCATTCAGTGAGGGGCAAGAGGAGATGAGAGTGGATGTTTCTAGCAGCTACTAGGTCAGCTGCCTATCTGGGAATATACTTTGAGTAGCAAGGATCAGGTGGGAGAAGCTGGCATGACTTAGGGGTGAGAACAGTGGGTGAGGCATTGGCCGGGATGAGAGGTTCTGCTGAGGCTGAGGGACAGGACTCCAGGGATTGGGGAAAAGAGTTCACAGCTGGTGTAACTCTTTGGGTGCTTTGCTGTCATCTCTTCTGCCCCTTGCGTTTGCCAGGCTGACCCCTCCACCCTACTAACCGCCCCCCCACACCCAGCCATGGTCCCCAAACTCTCCCACTCAGCCACAGAGTCTGGCCTTCCCTTTGTTCCCAGAGCAAGCACTCTGCAGAAAGGCTCGGCGGACAGAGGTGCGTTTCTGGTGACCAGGCGAGAGTTACAGGCCTGACTCCTGCTTGTGTTCACTTAGGTCTGTAAGCAAATGCTTAGTGGCACAAAGATAGCAGTGGCCGGTCTTTGAGTGTACCAAAAATAGTAAGGATCAACTGCACACAGCCCCATCTCATCTGCCTCACTTTTCCCTTCCCCTTAGTTATCCTGTCTCCCCTCCCTGTACCACTGTGAGAACTGTGAGGGCAGAACAAAAAGTAGATGCGTCCATCCTCATATTCCTGTAATGCAGACTCAGCCCCAGGCGAATGTCAGCAGTCTCCACTAGAGAACCTGAGAAGAAAAACCAACCAGTGGGGCATAGGGTGGGCAGGGTGGGAGACGGGCATGGAGTGGGCAGGTTGGGAAAGCAAGAAAGGATTTTGTCATGGAAATGAGTGAGGAAGAAGAGCCACTCAAGTGGGTTTGTTTTCCATCATACTTGGCCAGGATACATTTCTACCAGTTCCAAGAAAACCTTCCTGCTTCGCGCAGCTTGGAGCACTCGATGTGGCTTCCGTTCTCCCAAGCACTTTGGCTCAGAACCGTCTCCCCCACGCCCCCACCCCGTTAGGGTCCTTCTAGAACAGTAACATTTTGGCAGTGAGGTAAAGGTAAGCCCATCTCTCCTGAAAGTTGACCTATGTGAAGCTGTCACTTTGGTGGGAAAGGCGGGAGGATGATGAGCGCAGGGAATTACTAAGAAGTCTAATACATGACTGTGCTGCTGCTTTTTGTCTTGTTTTTACAGATTTATCAGCAAGACTGTTGAAAGTGTAACAGTCCAAGATGCCTGTCCCTCCCCCTCCGGCTCCCCCACCGCCCCCTACATTTGCACTGGTGAGTATCCCTCCCCATTCATTTTCTGTGCATACAGAAAACCAAATGAAGTCAAAACCTGGCAACATGTATTTGTTCTAAATGCATTTGCGTTCTGGCTTGCACATGATACAGCAGGCTTTCCCAGTGCCCAGCGTAAGCCAAACCCCAAGACCTAGCGAATGCAAACAACACGAGGGGTTTTGTTTGTGTAAGGTCTCCTGTGATGCATAGGACAAGCGTGGAATGTGGGTTATTAGGTTTCCTCTGCCGTGTCCAAGGAAGGCAATGTGCTGTCCTGTCCTGAGACAGGTTCATGGAGCAGTTTTGAGACCAGCGTGCACCGTTCCCATGTGAAGGAACTCAACGTCCAGCCTTTAAACTTCTGGGCAGTGTAGGGGCCAAGGGAAATTTCCCCTTCGCCCTTTGAAGTTTTGCTGAAAAATCAATTCACAAAAGGCAGATGAATTGGAGAAAAGGCAGACAAATTTTATTAACGTGTATACAGGGAGAACCACAGAGTGAATACCTGCCCTGAAAAGGGGCTCAGAAGCTTACATACCATCCTGGCAAAACAGCTTATGGGAGGGGGAGGAATTCTATGGATGGGATTACTAGGGAGAATGACTGGGTCAGGGAAGAGAAATTAACTTACACACCATCTTGTGAAAGGGTCTGTTCAGGGGCGGTTACATTCTTGGTCTTACAGGGAAGGTAAGAAAACACAATTGTTCTCTTCGGTGGGTTTGGATCTTAGGCAGATAAAGGAACTTCACCTTTATCCTATGCTTTGGGGGCGGGAGGTGCTCAGAGACACCTTGAGGCTTCTTTAGCTCAGCATGTCAAAATACAGTATTTTGGAGTGTTGGTTTCTGAGCCCCAGTAGCAGGACGGCCCAGAAATCCAGGTCTCTGTTTGTCTTCGGTGCATCCATTAAAGTGTCTTCCGGTCTCACTCCTTTCGTTTTTTCTGCCCTTTCCCTCTCCCACTGTTTTTGACAAATATCGTCCCCACCACCACCACCTCCACACACTCACATCCCCCTTTAAATCTACGCTTGCATTTAGATGTCTGCTTCCCAAAAGAATTTCTTCACTGGACTCGTCCTGGTCCTTTGGTAGACCTGTCCAGGGAAGTTGGTGCACCCTCTTCCAGGAAGTCAGCCGCCCTCAATGTGGTGACATGGAAAGGCTACGAGACACATTCCATGTCCAAGGCCTCCCCCAGCTGGTGAAGCCTTCACTGCTAAGGGGCCTCCTCATACTGATGGCCCCTTCATTTTTCACATGGGGAAACTGAGGCTAAGAGAAGAAAAGTCCCTTGTCCCGGGTTACCATGGGGCACATTTATATAATTCATCTGAGGTTGGAATCTAGTGGGAAGAACCTACCAGTAATTAGCTCATTGTGACTCAAAATATGGTCTTCCAGCTATTTGTTAGGGTCCCCAGGAAGATTAGAACAGACATTGAGAGTAAGCATTTAGAAACATTAATAGCAATTTGTTAGTAGTTTTATGTCTGTTTCTAAGATTAAATTTCATATTGTTTTTTAAAACTAGCTCATTTTTCTAATAATTAATTGTTATTTTATCAAAATGTCAGTTCATGATGAAAAAAATTTTTAAAACTGGTCTTTCACATGGATAAGTTGAGAAGCTCTGATCTGGCTAACATAGCAGGATTAGTTTATCTATATTTCCCCAAAAATGTGGGTTGTATAACACTGCTGGGTAGTACATGGATTAATTTTTTTTGATTTTAATAGTCATGTATTTATTTTAATGTGTTCTAAAAATTGTAACTAGCACATCAAACCAGGGTTTAATACTGAGCTGATTTAAAAGAAAATTCTCACTGAAAAATACTGTAGTATATAATATAGTGAATTGATTTAATGAAAAATATTAAATAAATAAAGCATAGGTGGCATGAGAAGATGAGAAAAATCATGAATGTTGTACCAGAATGATTGAAGTTTGGGAAACCCTTGTTTATCCTGTTAACTCATTTCTAGCCATTATTCCCTAATTCAAAGCTACATGCTGGGTAAATAAGATCTAGAGATGAGAAAAGAGAAAGGTGGGTTGGTGGCCATCACAGGACACTGCCCTAGTGGAACAACACAATTAAGGGCCCTGGACATGAGAGAAGTTAGCACCCAAGGAGGTCAGGTGTCAAAATAAATTTTGAGGCAGAACAGGAGGCCACTGAAGCTTGCTGACCCCAAACCGGTAAGCGATCCAACGTGGACACATCACTTAACCTCTCTAGACCTCAGGGTTTTTTCATCTTTAAAATGAAGACAGTAGGTCATTTCAAAAGCTCTTTGCAAGATGTCCAAAGTATGTTGTTAAGTTGAAAAAACAAGTTTCAGAGCAATAGAGGATAATCCTGTTAGCAAAAGCAAACTGTGTATGCAAAGAGCATTTCTGGGAGGACATCCGAGAAACTTTTAACAGGCTTACTTCCAGGGTGTGTTGGGGCTGATGGGGAAGGGGCATTTTAGGGCCTACATTTACCCTCTGTCAGATTATAAGGAAGGCTCTGGAGTCAGACTGCCAGGGTTTGAACCTCAGCTCCTCCTATACTAACCAGGTGACTGGGACAAATGACTTAACCTCCCTATGCCTCAATTTCCTTGTCTGTAAAATAGAAATAATAACTCACAGGGTTGATGAAGACTAAATGAAGTAATACACATAAAGTGCTGAAAACAGTGCCTAGCCCAGAATAAAAGCTATATAAATGTTAACAGTTATCATAAGCAAATAATAATTCATAATTATTTCAAGACATTTCCAACTTATATAGTAATTTTTTTTTTTTTTTTAGAAACAGGATCTCTCTCTGTTGCCCAGGCTGGAGTGCAGTGGCACAATCGTAGCTCACAGCAACCTCAAACTCCTGGGCTCAAGTAATCCTCCTGCCTCAGCCTCCTGAATAGTTGGGACTACAGGCACATGCCATCACACTGGGCTAATGTTTACATTTTTTGTAGCGATGGGGTCTCACTATGTTGTCCAGGCTGATCTTAAACTCCTGGGCTCAAGCCATCCTCCTGCCTCAACCTCCCAAAGTGCTGAGATTATAGGGATGAGCCACTGTACCTGCCTCCTCTTTTTTTAAAAAATTATTTGAGACAGGGTCTCACTATGTTGCTCAGGCTGGTCTCAAACTCCTGGGCTCAAGTGATCCTCCCACCTCAGCCTACTGAGTAGCAGGGATTACAGACTTGAGCCACCATACCCGGCTTATACAGTAATTCTATTTAGCCTACTTCGTGGTTCTTCTGAGCTCTCCCTCTGCCTCTAACTCTGATAATAGAAGGCTAGATGCGGTGGTGTGGCCTGTAATCCCAGCTATCCAGAGGCTGAGGTGGGAGGATCACTTGAGCCCAGGAGTTCAAGGCTTTAGTGCACCACGATCACGCCTGTGAATAGCCACTCCACTGCACTTCAGCCTGGGTGACAGAGTAAGACTCCGTGTCTAAAAAAAAAAAAAAGAAGAAGAAGAAGAAGAAAAGCATAGGTGAGGGATCAAGCCCTGCATTTCCCCAACTTTACCTCCTATGGCCCTAATTGGCAGATCTGGAATCATGTCCCTTCATCCCTTTCAGAAAGGCTGGGGCCAGCCCAGGACTCTCAGGTCTGCAGGAAGGACCCATGGCAAGACCAAGCCAGTTTCTGAGTGTAACAGACACAGGCAGATGCCTACTTCCAGGTCCACATGCTGGACTCTTAGGGTCCCCACTCCCTAAAGTAACCCTGGAGGAATGAGATCCCAATTTCACAGTAAGGACCTTTCCCTGGAATTCTGTAAATACAAGAAAATACCCAAGCATGTGAAAGCAGCACCTTTGTGCATAATGCAATTTCCTGTGAGCTAAGCTTTCAAAGGAATTAAACATCAGTCACACTTAGGCTAATGGGACATGAAGGAACTTTTGGGGGTAATGACAATGTTCTGCATCTTGATTGTGGTTACATGACTGTATATGTTCTACAAAACTCAGAACTATCAACTAAAAGGATGATTTCATCATATGTAAATTATGTTTCAATAAATCTGCCTTAAAAAGAAAAAAAAAGCATCTTTGGCATTACAGACAGATGGAATTATTTTCTAAAACTTTTGTGGGTTTTTGAAAAAAATACAGCTGACCCTTTCAGCTAGAGACAATTTTTCCCTTGCACTGGGTTAATTCTAAAAGATGGGAAAGGGAAGCTTTTCTTCTGGTGAATGAAGCCTAGCAGTGCCCTGCAGAATCCTCCCAGACTTAAAATTCCCTTTTTGTGTCTATCCATGTAACTGGCCCTGTTGGTTATAGCCAGATGGTGGTCTGAATTGTCAGAGACCTTAATCAGAGATTGATTCTTCCTGCCTTAAAAATGAATGTAATTTATTGCTGCATCTGCTCCCAAACATCTGGGTCTTAAAAAGAATGGTACGGGGTCTAAAACTTGTAGAGGATTTACAACCTATCACCAGAACCTTAATAAGAAGCTTCCAATACCCTGCTTGTCCCAGCTGAATGTTAAAGTGCATGATTTCAATCCAAGAGATGAATACAAGTTTGTATGGCTTACTTTCAGGCTAATACAGAGAAGCCTACCTTGAATAAGACAGAGCAGGCTGGGAGAAATGCTCTTCTCTCTGATATCAGCAAAGGGAAGAAACTGAAGAAGACAGTCACCAATGACAGAAGTGCACCAATATTGGACAGTAAGTGAAAAAAGCTGTTTTCCATGGAGATAAATGGCTTATGGTCTAACAATCAACCCTACCCCTCCCAGAAAAAAAAATTTTTTTGAGGGGGTTAACAACAGCTGCAAAGCTAGCAAAATAAAAGACTGTATTACCATGGCTTTGGCTTGGGTTCCCTTCTAATGCTGCAGGAAGCCAATATAATAATTCTTTGTCCAATACATACACAGCAGCGATTCTCTGCACTATTCACAACACTTTCTGGAGATTAACCCATTGCTCCTGACACCGCAGATCAGGAGACACCATGAAATATGGAAAGAGCCCTAGCCCTGGCATCAGAGGAGGTGGGTTCTAGTCCTGGCACATCCATCACGTAACATCTCCAAGCCTGATTGTCTTCATTTGTAAAGTGGAGATGATAATACCTGTTCTGCCTATCTCGCAAGTTTCTTGCGAGCTTGGAATGAGATAATGCCTGTAAAAGTGCTTTGTTGTCTGGAAAATGTAATTCAAGTGTAAGATATGATTATTGGGAGTCTAGAGAGAGCGAGGAAATGAGATCACAACTTTGCTTATGTACCCATCTAAATCTGAGATACTTTCTGGAACAAGGCAGCGTATGTATAAACAAATAAGTACCCACAACACAAGGCTACTTATAAACATTTACAATGGAACAAAAATTACCCATGACTAGGATCTACTGGTAATTAATATCAGGTCTCAAGACTGTCTCCTCACATTCCTAAACCTTTCCACTGCCCACCAGATGTCCCCAAGATTTGTCCTAGACTACAGAGCCCACGTGGACTCAATAGGAAATACATTGACCTCCCAAAATCACCAGATGGTGCCTTGTAGACAAGTGAATAATGATGCAGGATTTTAGCAAAGTGGAGGAATGGAAAAGAGAAAGACCATAATAAGGCCTTTGAACGTTGCTGTTACCAGACAAGGTGGTGCAAATGAGAATGCATCACTTCTCAAAAAGGAACTGTGGGCTTTTGTGACTGTTGACTTCACCCAGTCTGACCTCTAGGTCAAAATGCCCACAAAACTGGTGTGGTTATTGTATAATCCTTCAGTCCTCATGGTAAGTGTCACAAGATTCTCCCTGGAGGGGAGCCTAGCAGAGTCTCTTATATCTGGGCAGCCTTGGCCCAGCAGCCATCTGAGTTGTGGTCCCTGGTATGGGGCCAGAGGAGCTGCCGCCCTCTGGGACAGAGGCCAGCTATTCGCTCCACAACAAGAGGGAGCCTAGGGCCCTGTTGAAGGAGACTGGACAGTCTGGACCTATTCCTGAATCCACTAGTGGAAACACATTGTATTCTTCAGGGTTCACTTCTCTCCCCCCATTAAATTGGAATAATGTTAGTCCTTTTCCCTTCCAGCTAGCTCCGCGATGTTTAATAATGTGCTTTATTTGATGGAAACAAGATATAGTCCAATGCATGCCCTTGCAGTCCACGTGCTTATTTGGACTCCTATACCGCTGTCACAAGCTCTTTGCAAGTGGCAAAATTCATCCATGGTTTTGTATCTGTTGGCATGTGAAATTTCCCTAGGTTCGACCATGGTTATGCATGATAGCTCCTGAATTTGGCCCTGTCCTGCAGTTTAAATGATCTGGAGCCTGCTAGCTGTCCTCGACTTTAGTTTCTGTTTCTGAAAGATGGACAGATGTTTCAGTAATGGATTATGGATTATGGATTATGGACTATGGATTATGTCTGATAGTGCAGGAGTCCCTCCAAATTTTCAATACCATGTAAATGTGTCTTATGTAAGTGCCATATTCCAAAATGTATCATTCATTAACAAATAATGTTTGAATGACAAGGACAATGTCAATATATTGGGAAAATTTTTAAATTTTATATGGAAGCCATTTTGCATACACTTCTGAAAATTGTTATTCTAATTTGATTTATATCAGATTATTTCTTCTATCAGCAGAGCTACTGTAAGCATCCCAGAAAGCTCCACACCTGAAAGAGATATAGAGCTAACACAAACTTATGATAAATCTAATCCAGAAGAAAAGAAAATACAAATGAATAAAATTAGAACCCAGCAGATTAAAGAGCCGAAGAAGATTTTCTAAAATTAAGGGTAATATAATAAAGTTATATGCTAAAACATTTTAAGATCTTAAAGTAATTTTCTAAGAAGAGCATCAACTTATTAAAATTCACTCAGGAAGCCTCAGTGACCAAGGAAAAAGATAAAAACTTTATCAAATTACTTTCTCTCCAAAAAGCTTTGGAGCCAGATGGTTTTTATTAGTAAATGCTTTCAAATTTTAAGAAACAGCTATTTCAAGTGCTGTATAAACCATTCCCAAACATAGGAAGAGACAGAAAGCTATCTGATAGGTGTAATGAAGCTGGCATATCCTAAGATCACACTTGACAAAGGCGTCAGACACGAAAGAGAAAGCTGTGCATTAGTGGTTTTCAACTGAGGGTAATTTTCGTGGCAATGTCTGAAGACATTTTCAGTGGTCGCAACTTGTGGAGGGAGAGGAGGGGCAGGGCAGAGAGAGCTGCTACTGGCATCTAGTGGGCAGAGGCCAGGGGTGCTGCATATATTCTCTAAAGAACAGGAAAGCCACCCACAACAAAGAATTATCTGACCCAAAATGTCAGTACTTTAAGATTGAGAAAACCTGCGACAGAACACTTATCATCATAGGTGAGAGAATACTACGTAAAATACCAAAAAATCTAATTCAGTAGTATGTTAAAAGAATAACACACCAAAACCAGGGTTTATCCAATTTTAGGTGTTAGAAAGTCTATTTATCCATCATATCAAATAAGAAAGGCCATATAATCATTTCAGTAGATCTTGAGTAGGCATCTGATAAAATTCCACACTATAAAAAGTCTTAAAAACTATTTAAAATGGAAGTATTCTTCCTGACTGAATATTTGGAAAGGAAAAAACCCTATTTCAAGCCAATAGTCAATATTGAACTTTGAAACATTAGAAGCATCCTCATTAAAATCGAACGTGGTTGCCTTTGGCAACATTAATAATTCACATTGTTATGGAAGTTCAGCCATCAAAGTAATTACTTATATGAAACAGAAATAAGACACACTTAGAAAAGAGGAGACAGAACCTTTATTATTTGCAGACCATATGTCTACTAGAAAATGCAACATAAATTTTTTTGTAACTTTTTAATTTAGAAAATACAGCAGGGAGGGAGGAGGAGGGGATAGGAATATGCAAACACAAAGAGTACAATGCACACCACCCGAAGGATGGACATATTTGAAACTCGGACTTAGCGCGGGGGGTGGGAAGAGCAACATACATAACCTAAACATCTGTACCCCCATAATATGCTGAAATAAAAAAAAAAAAAGAAAGAAAATACAGCAAAGTGGCTTATTAGATATCAAATAAAATTTCCTGGTGCCAATGATAACCAATTACAAAATATAACAGGAAAACCATCCCTTTCACAATTTCAACAAATAAAAATGCATTTAAAGTAACCCTAACAAGAAACGTGTATAACCTATCTCATGAAAACTACAAAACTTTACCAGAAACTCCGGAAGACATGACTAAGAGGGAAAATATACCATATCTCCAAATATGAAGTATAAATATCATAAAAGTGTCAGTTTTCCCAGATTAATTTGTAGAGTTCATGTAATACTTATCAAAGACTCAACATGGTTTTTGGGAGATAAAACTTCAAATAATGTTTTAACCTCATAAATACAAACATACATATATGCATGCATACATACATTGTTAAGAAATAATTTTTTTAAAGAGGTTATAATGTTGGCTCTCACACAGATATAAAATGAACATGTGTCAAAAATTTTATTTAACTAGTTAATGAAGGAACCAGTATGATATTATCAGTTCAAAGGAGAGTACAACGTACCTCACATATAAACACGCTTGCTAACGTGAATTTATAATTAAGTGCAAAACAGGTCAATAATCAATTGCATTCCACTGAACACAACTAATTTGCATTTCTTTGGACAAATATCATTTGCATTAGGATCAGTTTTCTGCATCTTAGACTTACAAAATATTGTAGCTCAAACACAATGGGAAATAACCGAGAATGCTAGACAGGATACTCAGTAATCTTTTCCTTTCTTCTTTTTTGTTTGTTTCCTATTTCAAAAATCTTTAACAATTTTTTGCAAATACATGCAAAATAAAATGAAATCTTCATACCTTCTCAAATTGCAAAGAATTTAAAAATTGTCAAAGCCTTCCACTGGCCTTTGACAATTGTAAATCAACCTAAAAGACATCAAAGAAGTGGGTAGTTAAATTAATTATAATATAGTCATGTCCTAAAATACAATACAATCCTTTAAACTAATGTTTTCAAAGAATAGTTAGTATAATAACTAACTATTAATAATAACAGTGAAATAATAACAGTGTTACGTGAAAAAAGCAGACTAAAAACTGCTTAGTGAATTTGTTCTTAATTTTAAGAAAAAACATAAAATGAAGAAATACAACTCAATGGTAGATATTTACAAGGAGTAAAATTATGATATTTTATTTTCTTCTCTTTATTCCTTTATTATTTCTTCTTTATTCTTTTTTGCTATTTCCTTCTAACCTTTTATTGCATCTCTCCCTCCCTTGGGACCAGCTTTCTTTGAAGATCCTTTTATTTGCCAAAGTTTAGGATACAGAACAAATAGATATTAACCCATATTGTCCCCACCTCACCCGCCCTTCAGTCAATGAAGGGCGGGTGAGGTGGGGACAATTGTCCTCTGTTATTATTTCTTCCTCCACTGGGCCTGGAACTGCCTTGGAGTGGGAAGAAACCCCTCCAGTTCTGACTAGGGGTAAGGGAACCCTTCAAAGCCTGCATGTGAATGAAGAAATCCTAGTTGTCCACCGGAGGCCAGGTTCGGCCGGCTCCCTGTTTTACTGTTGTTTTATGGTTTACTTGGGCTAGGACTGGTGCAGTACGCTGATGAGTGTTTTCTTCTTCCTTCTGCAGAACCTAAAGGAGCTGGTGCTGGTGGTGGCGGCGGTGGCTTTGGTGGAGGAGGCGGATTTGGCGGAGGAGGTGGCAGCTCCAGCGGCGGCAGTGGCGGTGGTGGTGGAAGTTTTGGAGGAGGCGGACCTCCGGGTTTGGGAGGACTGTTCCAGGCCGGAATGCCAAAGCTGAGATCCACGGCCAACAGGGATAATGGTGAGGAGAGTTTCCTTACTCTCTCAGTCATGGAAGACCAGACGGTTTTGTGGTTTGAAGGCTTGCCATAGCCTCTAAGGCTGTATGCCTTTTAAAACATTTTACATTGTTTGAAATGTTACCACTGTTTTATAAAAGAGACTCTATTTAGCTTTTTAAATTATTAATCAGGATCAGACAGCTTTATAGAGCTATGAAATAGTTGCCCAGTGTCCTTGGGGGTAACCTGTACTAGAGTGGAAAGAAAAGGAAGGAACAAATGGAACTTGCCCCCTGGACACTGCGGGTGACCTGGCAGATTCGGCTTTCTTTGAGAGGTAGCCTGACCCAGTATAGTAAATACCCGTGAGCAACTTTTCAGACACACTGTAGAGCACATCATATGAAATATAATTACAATTCTCACTAAATCTGAAAAGGTGCTTTGCAGAACACATGTTGGGTATTTAAGTAATCTCTGCAGGGAGCCATGAAAATGAATCCTACAGGATTGTCTATGAACGTCATGGTACAGAAAAGTTGAACCTGGTCATGCCTAAATAAAAAACCTTGCAGACCGCATGAGGCTCTCTCCTGACTACTACAGAAGCTCAAGAAATTTTAGTGTAAAACTTTTTTTGGTAATGTTTATCATGTTAAAATATTTTCTTTCTAATTCCTTGATCTTTTAATATATCCTTTGGGAAAGTGAAATTCTCACATTCATATGAAGTCACTGGCTCCTCAGGGTTAACTATTTTAGTACTACATGGTCAAAGTGTAGAGACTCAGTGACGTGAGAGATTGTATCTTGCCAGACCTGTGTTTAAATTTAAATTTATTTATCTGAAACCCACCAAAAAGGATTTGAGGCAGCTGACAAATGTATACATTCAGTACATTCAGTAACAGTAGGTGAGGCAATTAAGGCAAAAGACAAAGAAAAATAAAGTAATAAAATGAAGATGCAATTTAAGTCAGTACACAAAATAGTGTAGCGGAAGACCCCCTGCACATGTTAAGGTGGACAGTAATTGTGGCTTTAATCTGAACTTGGAAGATATCACAAGTTGGTGACATAGAAATATACCACATAGTCAAGGAAAATACAGCTTTTTTTCTTGTACTAAAGCCAAAATAAAAAATTCTCTCTAGAGTTCATGTTATTCCACTGTATAAATCTGCCCAAAGGCTTCTTACTGTGGCTTGGATAAAATCTGAACTACTTCTTCTAGCTTGCAAGATTCTTTGTGCCCCAGCCCCTGTTGGCCACTCAGGCTTCATTTGCTCCAGACTTCCCCGAGGCACATGGATCTCTGTTTTTGAACTTGAAGTTCATTCCCACCTCATGGCCTTTGCACTTGCCAGGCCTCTGCCTGAAGTGTCTCTCTCCCTCATCTTTCCATTTCTGGCTCCTTCTTGTCAGGCCTTAGCTCACATATCACATCCTCAGAAGAGCTTTCCCCAGACACCCCGTCTGTCCTGGCCTCTCCAGGTACTCTTGAGCTCATCAGCCTATTTTAGTTTCTTTTTAGTACATATAACTCTCTAAAAATATTTATTTACTGGTTCATGTTTATCTCCCACACAAGAAGGTAAACTATAGGAGTGTAGGATCTCTTCCATTTTGTTTACTCCTCTGTCTCTAACATCTAGAATAATAGCTGGTGCATAGTAGGTGCTCAATAAATATTTGATACATTAATTAGCTCATAATTGAGGTGTTAAATGATAACCATTTTTTTTTTTTTTTTTTTTTTTTGAGAATTACCTTGGATTCCAACAGATTCTAGGGTGGTGGGTAGAAATTTTCCGTATTTTTGGTTCTCCCAGCTCCTCTCTTTGTTGAACCAAAGCAGTCGTGGGGCTGTTCTCTCCTGCCAATATGAAGTGGCAGTTGACCCAGTAAGTAAAAAGGTTGTGTAGTTGCCTACTTCTTTACAGATGAATTCCTTCCACTGATGTCAACCCTTTCAGTTAAACTTTGATAGTTTCTTCTTCCTTGCTTAGTTTTTTCTTATGGCAGTCAAAACTCTTCAATTATATTTTTCTACCATTTTTTTTGGCATTTCTCTTCAAAGAGACTAGGTAAGCCCTCACATATGGAGATTTATATTGGAATAACTAATTTTTTCACCTAAGATGGCTGAATTTTATTTCAAACCAGAGAAGGACAAGGGCCAGGGGACAGAAATGGTGATGGGGACAAATGAACATCATTAGCAAAAGTCCCATCCACCAATGCCATCTTGCTTTTGTCCTCTCATAATGAATAGGAATCTCTCCAGAACTCTTACCAACTTCATCCTGGTTCTTGTCTGTACATGAAGCTAAGAGATCTCTCTCCAAAATCCTTTTGAAAGCTGATGGGTTGTAGCCCTGGGACTAGAAGGTAAACAGAGAGCTGTGGTCTACTCCTCTGCCTCCAAGAAACACCACACAAAACCCAATTTATATAAATAATAGTTACCTATATTTTATAGCACCCTGAGAAAGAATTTCCAGCAGCTGGGAATATACTCGACCTCTCTGATTCCTTTGGGGTTACTAATTTTCTAACTGGATGTTTGTTTTCCTGTTCTTCAGATTCCGGAGGAAGCCGACCACCAGTTTTGCCACCGGGAGGAAGAGCCATGTCTGCCAAACCTTTTTCACCCCCAGGTGGCCCCGGGAGGTTTCCTGTGCCTTCTCCAGGCCACAGAAGTGGTCCCCCAGAGCCTCAGAGGAACCGAATGCCTCCCCCGAGGCCCGACGTGGGCTCCAAGCCCGATAGCATCCCCCCTCCAGTGCCTAACACGCCAAGACCCAGCCAATCAAGTCTGCACAACCGGGGGTCCCCACCAGTGCCTGGGGCCCCCAGGCAGCCCAGCCCTGGGCCTACTCCTCCCCCTTTCCCGGGAAACCGAGGTGCTGCTTTCGGAGGAGGCTCCATCCGTCAGACGCCCTCGGGCTCCTCCTCGCCCTTCTCCAACCGGCCCCCCCTGCCCCCTACCCCCAGCAGGGCCGCGGATGACAAGCCTCCTCCACCGCCGCCTCCGATGGGCAACAGGCCCTCCATCCACAGGGAAGCGGTTCCGCCTCCTCCCCCCCAGAACAACAAGCCTCCAGTGCCTTCCACCCCACGGCCTTCCTCCTCCTCGCAGGCCCCCCCTCCTCCGCCACCACCGAGCAGGCCCGGCCCGCCTCCCCTGCCTCCGGGTTCCGGTGGCGGTGACGAAATCCCAAGGCTCCCACAGCGGAATCTGTCCCTCACTTCGTCTGCACCGCCCGTACCTTCGCCGGGACGCTCCGGTCCTCTTCCTCCCCCGCCCAGTGAGAGGCCCCCTCCTCCGGTGAGGGACCCACCGGGCAGATCAGGTATGACGAGACATGGGGTGAGTCGTCTCGCTAAAACCCAGCCTGCCCGCATGTCGCTGGCAATCCTATAAGCGAATAGAGTCGGACGTGTGTGATTTCATCGTGACCTCGTGTAAATCTCCGAGCAAAGTGGGACCGATATTTCTGTCCTTGTTTTAGAGACGAAGAGACTGAGTAACCTATAAAGTTAAATGGTTACAAGCTAGTTCGTAAAGAAGAGGCTAGAACTTTGATCTTCGATCTCTGAAGTGTACTTGCCACTCTGCTACCCTGCCTCTCTCCTGTGAATTCCAGCTGTCTTAATTGGGGAACTAAATTCCCATCTCCTGCAGGAGGGCTCCATTTTTCCAACAAGAGGGGCAGTTATTTGAGAGCTAATGAACTTCTCCTATACTTCACCTTCATTTGCTAGACTTTGAGGCCACTTCCCTGCTCATTAAGGACAAATGTTAAAAAGTCTGTTTTGCTCTTTAACCTCTCTGGTACATAAAGCCCTTGGAGAATCAAATAAAGGTAAAGGTATAGACCTTCTCTTTATAAAGGTATAGACCGTCTCTTTATAAAAATGCTCATAGGCATAAACTCAACATTCGCAAGCAATTTCATGGATCGAAGGGACTGCTGAAGCCAGCATTGAGAAACCTTAATCTGAGGGAGGAACTTTGAGAATGTGAAATGAAATGTGAGGATTGCCGGGAGTTTGCACTCTCTCCCCTAATTATAGCAGGCATTCGTAGTGGAATACACTCACTTAACTCATTTTACAGTAGTTATTAATGGATTCAGTAGAACCATCTACTTTTTAAATGTAATCTCATCATACGTACCTCATCATGTCTGGAAATGGGGCATTTTTTTCTTTAGTAGAAGTTAACTAACCTTCAATCCCGTGACCTCAGGAACCCAATAAACACCATTCTTTGAACTTGATCACATACTGGAACCACCCAGGGAATTTTAAAAACCATGGGTGGCTGAGTCCCTTCCCAGGGTTTCTGGTGTAATTGGTCTGGGGTGCAGACTGGGCATCTCCCCAGTGATTATAATGTGCCCCAGAGTTTGAGAACCAGTCCTTAAACTGCTGTGCCATGGGTTTCCCAAATGGATGAATCAACAGATTACTCTTCCCCAAAATATGATAGGCTGTGACAAAGAACATTTATTGTTTCTCTTGATTATATAAGTCCTAACTGTTTAGTATAGGAATACCAAAAATTATAAATAAATTTAAAATCATCTATAAACCTACCACTGCCACCATCCAGAAATAATCACTGATAACATTTTTAATATATCCTTTCCATCTTTTTAAAATGCACGTATATACATTTTTATAAAATTGGTATCACACTACATATATCGTTTGGTAATTTTCTTTTTATTTAACAATATCTTACTAACATTTTCTGATGTAATTATTCTGACTTTTAATGGCTGTAAAATATTAGATCCTACAAATGTACCTTGATTTATTTGACCAATCTCCTCACTTGGTCATATGGGCTATCTCTGGCTTTTTTTCTGTTGTAGATAATTCAGTGATACATCGTTGTAGCTGAGTATTTGTGCACATCTCTGTGTGTTTCCTTTGGATGAATTCCTAGGAAAGGAATTTCTAGGTCAATGGGTGTGCATAGTACACTACGGATTTCATAGGTACTGCCCAATTACCTTCCAGAAAATTCCTACTAATTTACATTCCCACGAGGAGCGTATGAGACATCAAGAACCATCTATATTTTGAGTCTTTTGTTTGGCGTCATTGTTAGGGGAGTGGGCTTTAGAATTTGACAGATTTAGAGTCAGATCCCGGCTCTTCCCCTCATTACCTTCCTGACTTGGGCTTTTTAAGCTTCCTGAACCTCTGACGCCTTCCTTGTCTGCTGTCTCTATACCTCTCAGGGCTGATACAAGAATTGAATGCAACGAGTGTATATAGTGGTTATCTTCCTGGCATGTAGTTATGTTTAATAAATGATCATTTTTATTGTTATTCTGCCAATGGGAAATAGAAATCTGCTTTCTTTTCTGTTGTGCCTGCCAGGATCTTGGAGCAGGGAGCCACAAAGTTGGAGAGTTAGGAACATGAGCAGAGATGTCGATCAAGTTCATTGTACTGGGCTCCATAATATTGGAAGTCTAGTTTGTGTTTAGTGACAGTTATGTGGTGATGTTACCAGTGAAGTTAAACCCACAGCATGTGAGACACTTTTCCTCCAATAAATCAACTCTTGTTGCCTGGGACTCCAGCAATGACAAGCAGATGAGGCAATAAATAAATACTCCAGGATGAGGCACTGAAGACTCCTTGAGAGAGACCACCCAGGGCTGGGCAGTGCCTCCATCGAGTGTTTGAGGCAAGACTTTTTGCCAGGGTTGTTCAATGTAAGGTTCCTAGTTGAATTCTGTATCTATAGCTAATGAGATATTTATATTTATAAGACATTGTATTTACATAAAGTGTCAGCATCTTACAAATGGCGCACACTGCTGAAGATCAGGACTACTTACTAAGGCCATTTTGATTTACATGGGAAGATACTCATGTCTTTGACTTTGTGTTTGTTGTTCTTGTTATTTAATTTACTCACTACCCAAATATCCTCTGCATTTGGAGGATGGAAAAAGCAAGACTGATTTCTTTTGAATTATCAAAAAGAATTTATTTTGACTTTTTTCCTAGGAACTTAAAAATTTCTTGTTAAACCATACCACAGTTTCTAGTTAAACCATGGTTTCAAATACTTACATAGTACTTTCACTTTCTGTTTGCTTTTTGACTAATTGCTTCTGGCATCAGAGTCATGGGAAAGGTGACTATCTGGCACTCTTTTATAGACAGGAAACCGAGTTCCATAAGGTACCAGCCTGTTCAGGGTTAGGACCCACACTCACATTTATAGCCATGGACGGATATTGATTAACTATTTGTCACTCCCTGTGTTCATCTGCCTCCCCAAAGAGGAGGAACCAAGAGGGAACTCCTACTGCTCTCAGGATGACTGGGATTTGATATCCTGATGCCACTTCTGCCTGGAAACAGATTGTGTGTACCACAGAAACATGCTTGTATAATTAGCAATAATATTGTGCATTTAAAGAACTTAGTTCTTCTGAAGACCTAAAGTAACTTCATAACCATCTTAGTCTTTTTTTTTAATTCTTTCATCATGTCACAGTAATTAGATCAATAGCTCTTTAAAAGGATTATTAAATGTTTTTTAATTAATAGTTGTCAGTATAAACAGATTATTAACTGTTTTCAATTTTACCGTATCATCTCCAATCTCAATACTAACTCAAAGCCAAAATAGCAATTTAGCTATTAATCTGCACTTGTTTTACATATACATGTGTACCTATGTTCACTTTTGTGGTCATATGTGCTTCCTCATTTCTCAGCTAAATCTCCAACAAGTCTCCTCCATTTCTCCATATTCACTAGTTAAAGGTCACGTGTCCAGCAGGCGCCTGTCCATTGTACATTCATGACGACCATGATGATAGCGATGTGAGTGGGATATAAGGTGTTGCACTAAGTGTCTTCTTTTCTTTTGCCCCAGGCCCCCTCCCACCGCCTCCTCCAATAAGCAGAAATGGCAGCACGTCTAGGGCCCTGCCTGCCACCCCGCAGTTGCCATCCAGGAGTGGAGTGGATAGTCCCAGGAGTGGACCCAGGCCTCCCCTTCCTCCCGACAGGCCTGGTGCTGGGGCACCTCCCCCACCTCCACCGGCAACATCAATTAGAAATGGCTTCCAAGACTCTCCCTGTGAAGGTGAGGTGTGGTCCCAGATCCTTGGGTGATAGAAGGCAGCAATTGAATGGTCAATTTGTTTTTGTGTGTTGTTTGCTTGTTTGAGTTAACATTTCTTGTTCCATCATTGTTATCACACTACACCACACTGGACCACACTGATGTAAGCATTTTAGAGCCTACCAAGATTTCAAAATAAAAACAATAATCCCCCTCCCCCACTTTCCAAAAAAGCAGATCATTTTTCTCTGACCTGTCCCTTGTTTGAGTCTCATTTTGCTTAACTTTCCAGAGATTCCAGAATTCTGAAAAGAAACATTTTTGTAGCTTGCTTTCTTCTTATCTACATTTCTGAACAGTTTGCTGTAGGTAAGAGGCCCAATGGCCTGCAGATGCCACTTACCTCTTCCACTGTTACCAGAGTGGTCCTAGTTACTGCTGGGCCCAATGGTACGAAGAAAGGTGTTCCCTACCTTAGTCCCCAGCTCCTGACAGGGATTGGCTGGATCCTCATGACTCTAGTTAAAAATCACTTTGCTTTCATTTGCAGGACAGTTTTATTGATGTGCCCAATCAGTGACATTTGTAGGACTTCCCGCTTTTCTGTAAACTTTTAGGCATAAAAACTTTTAGGCATAAAACTAAAACTGATTTCTGCAGTTCTCTCTGTATTTAATTCTGTGCCTTTCATTACATAAGTCTTCACAGCAAACTGTCTGTTACTGAAGATACTGTTTGTTTCTCCCCCCAGATGAGTGGGAAAACAGATTCTACTTCCATCCGATTTCTGATTTGCCACCTCCAGAGCCATATGTACCAACGGCCAAAAGTTACCCCAGTAAATTGGCAAGAAATGAAAGCCGCAGTGAGTATTTATGCCAGGGCTTTTGAAAGAGTCATACTTGAATAGCCTGAGCTACACTCAATCTATACAGGAAATCCAGGCCTTTTGCGTTGAATGGGGTAGAGAGCCCCATTTGGAGCCATCTAATAAATTCTGGTAAAAGGCCAGGCACAGTGGCTCACACCTATAATCCTAGCACTTTGAGAGGCTGAGGCAGGAGAATTGCTTGAGCTCAGGAGTTAGAGACCAGCTTGAGCAAGAGCGAGACCCTGTCTCTACTAAAAAATAGAAAAATTAGCCAGGTGTCGTGGTGCGCGCCTATAGTCCCAGCTACTCAGGAGGCTGAGGCAGGAGGATCACTTGAGCTCAGGAGTTTGAGGTTGCAATGAGCTCTGATGAAGCCACAGCACTCTAGCTTGGGCGACAGAGGGAGACTCTGTCTCATAAATAAATAAATACATAAATTTTGGTAAATTCCCCCTTCACGTGCAGAAAGGAAATGGAGATGCCCAGAATGTGTATGAGAAATGATTATTTTAATACGTCATTACAAGCTCAAAATACCTTTGGTTTGCTAGTATTAAATGTTATTATTTTGCTTCTTTGGATAATCTTCCCCTATTTTGATCTTCCTAAGAAACCACAAGTAGCATCATTTTCTGTTCTCACCAGTTTCAAGATTGGCAAAATGTCTTATTAATTATAACCAAAACTCACTGTAACAGCCTTGATCTTTTAAATGTATTGTAATCATAGCTTTACAGAGCATTCTCTGACAATTTTAAGTATATCTATAATCTCTCCACATAGCATAACAGATATTTTCATTTTACCAGGTTCTCTTCCAATTTTTATCCATATAATTCTGAATTTATATATAGTTATAATGACAGAGTGCGGTTTTTTGGTGGTGGGGTTTACATAACATTGCTTAGTAAACACTTCCCCATTTTATTACATCGTTTTTATTTCAACATACAATAATTTACCATTATTGGACATTTCAATTGTTTTTAGACTTGAAGCAGCCTTAGCCTCAGAGCCAAATTCCCAAACTAGAAATATGTGGAGAAAAAGTATGTGAGCGAGTCAAATAACTATGACAACATCCCTAGCCATGGCCTATTCCCTAGCAGAGTGCCTTACACACACAGCCCACGGATTCTTTCCTAATGCACAGTTTTTAAATAATTTTGGGTTGGTTGGTTCCCAACCTTACAGAAGATTAATATCAGCTAAAGGTGAGGCCAGTTAGGAGCAAAATCACTGAGCTCAGGGAGAAGTGACAGGTGGCAGTGTCAGGGCAGAGGCGGCGGTAGAGGCACAGTTGTGCTAGGTAGTGCGGCTCGGGACAGCACCACATGTTTCTGTTGGACGAAATCACATTCAGTTAATAGACTCAAATAGCACTTCGTGCCTCTGTAGAAAAATTCAAAGATTTAGGAAACATTTTGGGAAAATTTCCATGAACAAATGTTAGAAGTGAACAGAATGTTGCTGCTTGAAAGGAAAACTTTAATTCCTGGAAAAATTTATATATGTGGAATACTGCATTCCTGGACAATACCTAATAATAATAAAAGGTATAACTGTAATAATAAAATTATCGTACAAGAATTGGTGGTTGAAATTTTGGGTTAAAAATAAGTCTTCACATGGAACAAATATCTTTGAGTGTGGGGGGTGTGTGTGGGTGTGTGTTTTCATCAGAAGACGACCAGAAGAGCTTCTATTTGATAAGAGTACAGCCTGTTTTTGTTCCCTCTTGGGCATTAATAAATAAATTCACTTTAAGGAGTTGTTCATATAGAGTCAAAATACATATATAGATAATATAATATGATAATAATATAATATCCTGACTTCTTATAAGCATTCTTAATCTAATTTAAATGTTATTTGTATTTTTACATCAATAACAGAACCATCTTCCCCATACCTTCCAGATTTTTAATTTAATAGCTGCACGTATTCCGTCCCCCATCCTCCTTTAAGACTCGGGTAAGCAACTTGAGGGCTAGAACTATGTCCTGCTCACGTCGCATCTTCCTTGAGTGGCGCAAAGCCTGGAACATAGTGAGCATTTAAAAATATTTCTTAAATTCTGAATTAATTTCCACTGCCCACCAACTTTTTTTTTGTAGATTTGCTTTAAATATTTTCAGCATTAGGCATCTTTAATATTTGATAATGATAATAGTTTGTCTGTCTAACAAAAATAAATAAGGTACTGTCAAGTACCAAGTTTTATTCTGCTCCTGTAGCTGCCTCCACCTCCAAGCCCACAGCTTGAGAGGGTACCCAGACAGCCCTGAGCAATGTAGAGTACACGTGGAGTGCCCCCTAATTACGGCTTTGGATGAGGCCAGCCCTCACTTTGCTGACCACTTGTGGCATGTCAGCTGATGGTCACGGCTCCATGATAGATGGCTGGTTTACATCCAGATGAGTCTTTGCTCAGATGTCTGCCCAAGAAAATATTTGGTTGGGATGGTGAGAGGAAAAGGCACCTCCTCCAGTGTTTTCCTCTAACTCTTCTCCTTGCTCAGAGATTTGGTTCTGTCTCATAAATCCCTAAATGGACTACTAGGGTCGCTGTCAAGATGCCTTCTGAAGAATCTGCTAGTGCCAGGCCACTGCATCTCAGAGCAGTGGTTGTAGCAGACCTACATGATTGACATGTGCCCCTGGTAGACCTGCTCACAGCATCTGAGCACCTGACTGCATGCCTAATCCCTGTTACAGCTTCAATAAATGTGTGCGTGATTTTTTTTAAAAATGTGAATGAGTTTTAAACCTGGTTACTATGCAATGATAGCCCACAAATATGGATAGCTTTTACAAGATCACATCAACATCAGAATGAGAAGGCAACACATGGAATGGTAGAAAATATTTGAAAATCATATATCTGATAAGGGATTAATATTAAGAATATATAAAGAATTCCTACAACTCAACAACAAAAAATAACCCAATTAAAAAATGGGTTGAGGCCAGGCCTATAATCCTAGCACTTTGGGAGGCCAAGGTGGGAGGCTCTCTTGAAGCCGGGAGTTTGAGACCAGCCTGGGCAACACAGTGAGACCTTGCCTCTACTAAAGGCGGGGTGCCTTTAGGTGGGGTGCCATATGCATGTAGTCCCAGCTACTCAGGGGAATCGCTTGATCCCAGGAGTTCTAGGTTGCAGTGAGCTATGATCTGCACCACTGCAATCCAGCCTGGGCAATAGAGCAAGACCCTGTCTCTTAAAAAAAAAAAAATTGATGAACACTTGAATAGACATTTCTCTGAAGAAAATATACAGATGGCCAATAAGCACATGAAGAGATGTTCAACATCACTAATTATTAGGGAAATGCAAATTAAACTACAGTGAGATGGAGCTTCACACCCATTAGCATGGCTACTATCAAAAAAGCAGTTTAGAAATTAGAAGATACCTAAATGCCCAACAAAAGGGGATTGATGAGATAAATAAAATATACCCATACATTAGAATGCAATGTGGCATTAATTGTATTTGTAAAGAGTAATGACTTTGAAAGATGTTCAAACTGACTGTATGATCCTATTTCTGGAAGAAAAAAGGGAACTGTTTCTAAATAGAAAATGTATCCATAATGTTATTAGCTATCTCTGGGCAGTACAAGCATGGGTGACTTTTTTGCTTTATTTTGCTCATCAATATTTTCTAAATCTAGAATAAAAACACACTATGTGATAACAAGAAAGGCATTTTTTTTTCTGAGATAGGGTCACACTCTGTCACCCAGGCTGGAGTGCAGTGGCATCATTGTAGCTCACTGCAACCTTGAACTCCTGGGCTCAACCGATCCTCCTGCCTCAGCCTCCAGAGTAGCTTGGACTGACTACAGGCACATGCCACCACACCTGGATAATTTTGCTATTTTTTGCAGAGATAGGGGGTGGGGTCTCACTATGTTACCCAGGCTGATCTTGAACTCCTGGCCTCAAGCGATCCTCCCGCCTTGGGCTCCCAAAGTGCTGGGATTATATGGGTATGAGCCACTGCACCCAGTGAAAAGCACTTTTTTTTAACTTTGTACACTTTCTCAGAAGCCGGTGGCGAGTCATCCTCTAGTAATGTTTATTCAGATGTTACTTGCTTCTTCCTGTCACTTCCCATGTCTCATCCATAGGACACACAGTTAGCTTACAGCCTGGGTCGTGGGAGTGAGGTAGTGAGTACCTTTGCAACCATCCCTGGGTTCCACGGTGAGCACGTAAACTTTCTAATCAAAAGTATATTTTGTCTGTCTTTTTCCTCAAGGTGGATCCAACCGAAGAGAAAGGGGTGCCCCGCCACTTCCTCCCATCCCGAGGTGATCTCTGCCTGCTCTTCTCTGCACAAGCTCCAGAGCTGCTCCCATCGTTGCTATCCGAGAATCGCACACCCTCCACCCCCTTTCTTCATATTGGCAGAAGGGAGGAGTGGGGGTGAGTGGGAATATGCGTGTGCAGGGGTGGGAATCCAGTAGAGAAATGCACCTAGCTTTTTATATTGTGTATATTCCGAGAGCAATTGCTTGCTTCAGCTACAGCCTGCCTGTGCTGGCTGCTGGGGGATTGATAGGCTTTTGTGGCAAGGAGGCGGAGATGAATTGTATCCCAGCTTTCAACCAACCAAATTGGAACATTCACTGCTTATTTGCTGCAGACTGCAATTATTAAAATTCCTGAGAGCTGTCTTCTTCCATGCCTTTCTCGCATGCTTGGCCTCCTGTCTGTTTCCACGAACCACGGACCACCTAAGCAAGTTGCTGAACAAAGGCTCACATGAAAACTTTTGCAGTTACAGGATGTCCAAGCTTTGGCAGTCAGAGGTACCAATGCTCTAGGACAGAGCTGTTCAGTAGAAATATAAGGCCCCATATACAACTTTAAAATTTCTGGTAGCCACGCTTTTTTTTAAAAAGGTGAAAAGAAACAGGTGAAATTAGTTGTATTTTATTTAACCCTATGCATCCAAGACATTATCATTTCAACTTGTAATCAATATAAAAAATATTAATGAGATATTTTACATTCTTTTTTGGTACTAAGTCTTCAAAATCCAATGTGCATTTTACACTTACAGCACATCTCCATGAAAATGTGACTAGTCATGTTTAATATGCTCAGTAGCCACATGTAGCTGGTGGTTACCATATTGGACAGCACAAAGGTTTAATGCAAAAACCTCTTGTTTTTGCGTTAAACAAAAAAGGCAAGATGAGCTTGAGCAATTTAAGCAGCGACTAAAAATAAAGTTAAGACCCAACACCTTGTTTGACAGACACCTTGACCTTAGATTTTGCTCCCATATTTTCCCTCTTCCCTTAATGTCTGTGTACAAGTGTTGCTTCACAGTCCCAAGGTCACAGATTGATCTAGAACAGTTTACAGTCATGTGGAATAAAGCCATTGGAGGGAAACTGAAAGCCTGTTGGGGCTTCCGGGCTCAGAGCCACCTGGTTCTTGTGCTCACTTGTCAGTTGGACTCCTGCCTCGGGGCCTGGAGGCTGCCTTCGCTTCTCTCCAGCTCAGTAAGCCCCTGGGGCTGGGAGAGGCTAGTGAGGCTTGGCAGGAGGGGAGGAAAGTCAGAGAAAGGTATCAAATCAGAAACATGGAAGAAGGGAACAGACTTGAGTTGATGGGCAATCCTATAAAACTCTAAATCCAATGCTTATAGGGTTGAGTGTTGAATTAGGGAGATTGCTAGTGGACATTGGAGGGAATTCGTTTTGAAGCTATCCAGAAGAATTATGTGTCTTGGATCTATGCAAATCAAGTTCTGCTAAAGGACCATAGGGAAGAGCCAGCCTTGCCTTTTTTTATAAGATTTTGTTTACAAAATTTTACTGGGACTTTTAAATCTAGCTGTAGAGTTGGGAAAAAATATTTCCACTTAGATGTTTTATGTGGTTGATTATGTTTAAAATTACCATGACTTATTTTTTAAAAGCACATGACCGTATATGTATATGTATATCTACCTAAACTTTGTATCATGGTTTCAGTGTATTATTCATGTATTACTGGGAGATGCTAACAAGAAATCAATCCAAAGAAAAATTTGAAAGATGCATTCCTATTTATAGAATAAATGATTGTTTCATTTATATAAAAGCAAACGAACTTAGAGTTCTAATAAATGGGATGTCTAATAAATTATGAAGTTACTGATTTGAATATATTGTATTTTTATAACTTTCCTTACCAAAGTCCTGGGCTTAGTACATTAGAGAACTTGTTTCCCCTCTCCTCTGCCATTTATCTATCTTCCATACAGTCACTTGGGGCTCTTCGCCCCAAGAAAATCAAGAAATATAAAGGTGTAACAAGCTTGGCAAAATATTTTGAAAAATTTTTTGTAATCTCTATCATTTTGGTAATTTAGCAGCATCATTTTATTTTGGATTCTTTGATCTGACGTCAACAGTAATAAAAATCCCTATGATCAAGCCTAATGACCCACTGCACAAAAGACGCAGTTTGGCCTTCCTAGCAAATATGGTGGAGAAAAGTCCGACCCAAAGAAAGGTCTGAATTTTATAAGGGGTAGGAAGAATTGGACAACTTCCTTCTATATCTCAACTTTGCAGGTACCATTCTAAAGTTTGAAACAGGGTCACAGCTTACAGTTGCCATTTATCCAGAATAGAGATGTTTTAGAATGTATCTTTTAAGTGAATGTTTCATTAATACACCTACACCCTTTCTCTGAAAGATAGAAACCTAATTGCATCTTAAACTTTGAATAAGCTCTATGCTGAAATCTGCAAATCACAGAAATGAGTGTTTTCTTCCTTGAAATCAGAGCTTACGTGTGTGTTTTTTCCATAAAATTTCCAGATAAATATATTCAAGATGCAATACAGTATTTTAACATTCACATATCATTTTATATTGAAATGTATTACAGTATTAAAATTCAGTGTTCAGTATTTATTTCACTATGCATTTTATTTAGTAAAAGCTAAGAAAAACGTTTAATCCAATGGTGCCTTACTTTGTGATTTGAAAGAAATCAACTTTTTATGTCTAAGTAGCAGATTATTTGCATATTTGTAAAAACCGTTAGGTCTTTATATTTTAACTTGTAATACCAATTTTGTTATTTTAGTAGCAGAAATGGAATGATTGTTAAAGTGCCCAGAAAATTTTTGGCATAAAATTAATTTTTCCCTCTTTATAGTCAGGGACTATAGAGGAAGAAAAAATATTTTCTCATACCATTGCACTATGTAAACAGACACATTTCTGTATGTATGTCATCAGCATAGTGTAAATGGTAGGGTAGAGTCTACCCCAGACATCTGTGTCTTTGTAAGTCAGCCAGACAATAAATAAAAGCAGAACGATACCGTGTCAACTGGTGGTTTTTCTTTAAGTATTGTTTATGTAAATATAAACAAAAAAGCAAGTAAGTGTCTGTTTTCTGTTTTATACTGTGGGAAAGAAAAATAAACAAAAAAAAAAAAAAGGGAAGATTCGTGTAAGTAAATATTCATTACACCTACTTGCTAATCCTTTCTCATTTGTTTTTTCTGAGAACCTGCACCTTAGTCAAAATCTGTTTACTTGGTCGGGTAAACATGGCCATGGTGGCTCACGCCTGTAATCCTAGCACTCCGAGAGGCCGAGGCAGGCGGATCGTTTGGGCTCAGGAGTTCGAGACCAGCCTGAGCAAGAGCGAGACCCCGTCTCTACTAAAAATAGAAAGAAATTAGCTGAACAACTAAAAATATAGGAAAAATTAGCCAGGCATGGTGGCACATGCCTGTAGCCCCAGCTACTCGGGAGGCTGAGGCAGGAGGAGGATCGCTTAAGCCCAGGAGTCTGAGGTTGCTGTGAGCTAGACTGATGCCAGGGCACTCTAGCCCGGGCAACAGAGTGAGACTCTGTCTCAAAAAAAAAAAAAAATCTGTTTACTTGAGGCAGATGTTTCTCCTCTGAGGTAAAGATGGACAGTGGAAGCGATGGGAGATGAAATTAGAAGACTAGCATGGACACTGATAAATATAGGAAAAACCAATGTGAATTTAGGAAGGCTGATAATTTTTTAAATTATCTGCTGTGTGTATGTGTTTCTACCTATCTCAATATGGCACAATGGTTAAGAGCTCGGGAAGAACTGGCTCCAGCCATTACGTGCAAGTTACTTTGCTAAACCTCTTTCCTTATCGATAAAGTAAGGAACTAGCTTATAGCATTCATATGTACATTAATTGAGGTACTCACTCAGCACTTAAACCTGACATTGCGAACACTCAGTAAGTGGTATCCACTATGAATATGAAATAGAAAACAAATATTTACATAATGATCCCAGATTAACTGGAGCCAAATTGACTAGAAGGGAAATTACTAGTGTACTTTTAAAGGAAAGGAGCCTTAGCTCCTAGATAGAAAAAATATCCATATGTGAGATGCAAAGCAACCTCTAAACAAGGGTCACCTCACATGCTGGCCATCCCCATACCTCACAGGCCTGGAAAATGAAAATTCATGTTGCTTCAGTCATCAAAGAAGTATTATTAGGTCCAATTTGAAATCACAGAAATTAAGGACCAGAAAGAACCTTATGTATAGGGTGACCTTAGAATCTTGGTCCCCAGTGGAACACTTTTGAGAGTGGAAAGGGTGCTTATAACAGTTCCTGTGACACACCAGGTATAAACTGGGGCTGCTCTGGCAAACTGGGCCACATGTCACCCCACTCAGAGGTCATCCAGTCCAACCCTGTGGTCTCACCGATGGGCAATTTAAGGCCCCAAATGACATACTACTGTCTGACAAGTCTCACTACACCACGCTCCCGTCTTCATAATCCTTCCTACCTCTATCTGTCACTGTTCTCCTGTATCTTTCACATTTGCTGCAAAGAAAAGGCCAAACAAGAGGTTGCAGAGTCAGAATAAGCCTCACAAACCTGTTTGTGGATCTCGACTCCACCACTTGCTACCTGTGTGGCCATAAACAAGTTATTTGAGCTCTCTGAGCTCTAGTTTTCTCAATTGCAGAATCGTAACAAAGCTTACAGATGTATACACACATCAGGCAAAATACCTGGCATACGTCAGGCCCTCAGTGAAAGTTAATTCCATTTCATTTCCTAACCCTTTGGCCATCAAACCGAGGCCATGTTCAGGAAGGAACTCAAAGGCAAAGATGTCTGATAAAATTTAATTGCAGAATCCTTAGGCATAAAAATTGCTTTCTAAATTGGCTTAAGGTGTCCAAACTGGAATCATTGATTCATTCATCCATTCAATAAAATTTTATTCATTTTCTTTTTTCCTTTAATCTCAACGGGTGAATAATGTTGATTTAAAAAAAAGTTTAAACCTACAGGAAATTTGGGAGAAAAAAACAGTAGTTGGAAAGATTTTCGATGCCAGTAAGTGATGTCTTTTTGGTTTTGATACATTTGAAAAGTAAATTCAAGGATTCCCAGTTCTCTAAACATTTAATAGAAGGCTTCCCAGGTATATGATTGTCACCAGTCAATTTAGAGTGACCTCTACTCCCCTGTCTTCCCTACAGCTTCACTTCCCTCCACCCTGAACACTTGGCATTTCATGTCTATCTCTGGAGCTACATTTAGCACATACATATTTCTCTTACTGGTAAATGTTTAGAAATGTCCTAACCATCAACCATCAACCTAACCTAGCACAGGTTCCTTTGTCTTAAAATGTTGCT